CCAAGGGGGGGGCAGAACACACTTGTGATCCAACCCATTTCTGCTTTGGGTTCTATCTGATATTTTCTGTGTGGAAATCCCTACTTAAAGAAAACTTGAGTGAGCAAGGTAAGCTCCTCCAGGAGCAAAAGTCCTCTTTAACAGCATTTTGAGTAAGTATGGCAGGGAAGTTTGCAATCTCCTAAAGTTTTTTGTAAATACACGTGTGTATATATTTAAATATGAATATTTACAAAACACTTTCAAAAAAATCTAGAGTTCTTTAACCTTGGTAGTTATCTCTGTAATGTTGGGAAGACACACCCAAAGCACTTGTTAACTCTGGCATGAAGCAGAGAAGACAGGTTTGCAAGGATTTGTATGTGGAGTTGTTCATATTTCTTGGGAAGTACACAGATGCCTGGTCAGCCCCAGCCTCAATCTCCTGCTTCTCTGAGTGGAGTAATCTTTTGTAGGAAAAACGAAATATGCTTTTCTTGGAAGAATTTAAACGTGAGAAAGTGGCATACTCAGGAAATTTCCCAGTTAGCTGTAGGTGAACCAGACCCATCTTCCTTCCCCCTGGGCTGGTTACCTACAGCACACCAGCAGCACCCCAGTGCCTGAAGGACACAGCATGAGTCTCTGGGTTGCAAAACTTGTCTATTTCGAGTTTGCAGTGAGCAAAATGAAGCAGAAGTTACTGGGCTTCATGTGGGAATTGAAATGTAAGACTGTGAAATACGGGAGAGGGGAATCAGACTGGTTAGTCTCTCTCTGCATTTGAAATGTCTATGAATATTGTTGAAATAGTGTGTGTGATCGTTTTGCATGGCTGAAAATAGCTCTGCAAGGTGCCGGGTGGCAGTGCAAGCCAGCCCTTGGCATCACACAGCTCCCAGCATCGCTTTATTGTCACACCAGCAGCTTTGCTGTACAAAGAAAGCACAACTGGAGTCTGCTGCATTGTCCATGCTACAAGGAGGTAAATTAAAGGCTGGAGAGATTTTAATTTGCTCCAGGACACAAAGAACGTTGGGGCAGAAGTGAGACCTGCAAGCCCTAGCTGACAGTCCCTTGCCCTGACTTCTGAATGATGTGGGATTCATTTTCTTCCTTAAAAATAACCTTGTTTATAACCTCTCCTTCATGATTCAGCTTTTCTGCAGTCATCAAATGATCGCCATCAAAGCAGGGCAGCATCAGATTTCAGGAGGAAGATGCAGCAGGCTGTTGCAGCTCAGACATGCTCCTTGCAAAGGGCAGTTTATGGAGGAAATGAGGGATGCTTTGTCAAAGGGCTGCTCTTTTTGGAGAGGAGATCTCCTCTCTGAAATCGCTGTGCCAAATCCTAAACTGCCTGGAGTTCCTGCTGTGCAAATCTCCACCTATGGCTTCTGCCCTGCCAGAAACACCAGTGCCTCATCACCATGAAGTGGCCCCGTGCAGGCCCAAAGCTACAGACAAACGTGGTTTTCCTGGTTCCTCTCCTCCTTCTTGCCTGCAGGTCAGAGCATCAGACATGCGCTGCTCTGCATGCGGCGACCTGGGGCCCTACCAGTGGCACAGCTACCAGTTCTACATTTAAAGCAAGACTCATTGCCAAGAAAAATCTCCTAGAAAGTCCCACACACCCACTTTTTTATTCCTTGCTCTCTGGTGTGACGTGTCTCACAGGCAGCACAGCTCCCCAGGCTTCTAATGACCATGTTGCCAGGGTTTGCTAACTGCTGCATTATGTTGCCTGCAAAAATCAGGCTACACAGCTGCAATCCTGTTTAGCAGACTGGGAAGCAGAGGCACAAAATGGAAAGGACCAACCCTTTCCAAAACCTTCTGGTGGTTTTTGGCTAGCTCTGGATTAAGTTGCCCTGCTCAAATGGGTCAGCGACTGCTGGCCCAAGTGGTGTGCCCATGGACACACAAAAAATCAGCAGCAAACACCCAAGCAGAAGCCAAATCCTTGAGACACAACCCTGTGGTGCAAATTTGTGCTCATCCTTCTTTTTTTAGGAGCTAATCCTTTGTCCTTACAGGAAAAGGAATTTTCCATAAATGTATTTTTTTTACACCTCATTGTGTGTTTAATGTTTAACAGTGGGATCATTATGGTTTTATTAGCAGCGTGTAACGCTTTGTCATCTTCAACTGACTTTGCAAACATTAACTAATTGATCTCAACTATGAATCAGTGGTGGTAACTAGGAAGGGAGGCGAAGTGGTCTGCTGGTGCTCGCTGGGGAAGAGGCTGTCAGAACAGGGCACAGAAACCAGGGCTCAGGTTTTGCTGCTCAGACCACGAACACGACAGTTTTATTAGCGTTGTTTCCATTAGTGCTGCTGTCAGGGAGGGCTACTCTGTGTGCAATAAACAACCCTCAGCTGCTTCTCTCTGCCTCTGGTTGAGTTCATGCTTCACAAAATGTCACCAAACCCCAAAATATGCTGAATTAAGAAAAAAAAAAAAAAAGGTGACTAACTTTGTTTTCCTCAGTGGTTGCCGGTTGTTTTCCGCTTGCCCTAACAAAATGAATAATTCAATTATCTATATTTGTGGGAATTAGATGCTAAAGTCAGAAAGGAGCAGGGCTGCTTGCAGCCACAGCTTGAGAGGTTTTTAAGGGCCACATCGGCACAGACTGGCTCGAAGCATCCTGAAGCCGGCTGCCAGGAAATTAGCTCCTCGTTTGCAGTATGCAGAACATGTACGGCGGCTTCATGATTTACTCGCTCATCTGCTTCACATTGCGCCTACTCTCCCTCGCGACTGTCCTGGCGTACGCAATCTTCTGTTGCAAAACAGGAGTGAAAATGAGCACTGCAGCGTGGAAGAGCTGTGCCGCTGCCCAGGTAAGGGTGGCCAAGCCCCGCAGGGACGCGGCCCCTCGGGGGGGATGGAGTGACAGCAGCTTTGGCGACGGGAGGCGGTGGTGGCGGCTTTGAGGACAGATGAGATGTGTTTGGGGGATGTGATGATCGCCTGGGGACAGCGGGGATGTGGCCCCTCGGTGTGGGGGTGCAGTGATGGCTTTGGACATTAGGATGGGGAGGTGCTGGTGGCTTTGGGGACAGCAGGAACAGAGTGGGAAGGTGTAATAGTGGCCTTGGGGACAGCAGGGATACAGTGGGGACATGTAAGAGTGGCTTTAGGGACAGAGGGTACGGAGTGGGAAGGTATCATGGTGACTTTGGGCATAGTGGGGGCATATGATGGTGGCTTTGGGGACAGAGAAGGCAGGGCAGGAAGGTGTAATGGTGGCTTTGGCAATGGAGAGGACACAGTGGGGGGTATGTGATGGTGACTTTGGGACAGCAGGGACACAGTGGGGGGGATGAGATGGTGGCTTTGTGAACAGTGGGGGTGCAACCCCTCAGCAGGTGGATGTGATGGTGTCTTTGGGGACACACAGGAAAGAATGATGGTGGCTTTGGGGGCAGAGAGGACACGGCAGGGATGTGTGACAGTGGTTTGGGGACAGTGGAGATTCAACCCCTCATCAGCAGGCTGTGACAGTGGCTTTGGGGACTGAGGGTACAGAGTGGGAAGGTATCATGGTGGCTTTGTGGACAGCGAGACTACAGCCCCTTAGAAGGTGGATGTGGTGCTGTTTTTGGGGACAGTGGGGACACAGCAAGAAGGTGTGATGGCACAGGTGGTGTGAGACAGCAGGGACACAGTGGGGGCATGTGATAGTGACTTTGGGAACAGTGTGGATACAGTGGGAATGTATGATGGTGGGTTTGGGGACAGAGGGGACACAGCAGGAATACATGATGGTGATGTGGGGACAGCAGAGATGCAGCCCCTCAGTGGGAGGATGTCACGGTGGTCCTGGGGACAGCAAGGAGGCGTGATGATGGCTTCAGGGATACAGGGGACATGCCAGGGAGGCGCGATGGTGGCCTTGGGGATGGCGTGGACACGCCAGGGAGCTGTGATGACAGTCGGGGGTGGAGGGGACACGGCAGGGAGGTATGGCGGTGTCTCGGGGACAGTGGCGGTGCAGCCGCTCAGCAGGTGGCGGTGGCTTTGGGGACAGGTGGTGGGCTCGGTGCGGGAGCGCGGCGGCTCTGCGTACAGCGGCCGGGCAGAGGTGCGGGTGAGGCGCCGAGCCGCGGGCGCCCGGGGACGGGGGGCGCGCTCCGGGGAGGGGGCGCGGCGGCGGCTGGTCCCGGTCCCGGTCCCGCGGGCGGCTGTCCCGGGAGCGCAGGCGGGCTGGCCGCGGGTGCTGGCGCGGCTCCGCATCGCTCCTTTGTCTGGCGGCGGCGGCGGGCCCGGACTCCGCTCCGCTCCGGCGGGCGGCTGCGGTGGGCGGCTGGCGCGGTAGGAGCGTGGCGGGGGCGGCGTTCCGTTCTTTAGTAGGAAAAAAAAAAAATCACAAAACCCACACCAGAACTAATTTTTGCAGCCGAAAGTGTTGCAGGCGCTGCCGTACCCCCGGACTCCTGGTAGCGTGGCAAAGCCCTGCTCGGGCTAGCGGGAAGCGGAGTTTTAGTTCTGGAAAAGCAGCCCAAACTCTCCGGAGGGCTCCGGCCGCCGCAGCGGCGAGAGAGGGGCCGGAGGGGAGGGGGGATTTTTTCTTTCCTTTCCTTTTTTTTTTTTTTTTTTTTTTTTTTTTGACTCTTATGAAGACATGCGCATTTGTTCATTCTTGCCACCGCACTGGAGTCTGCCTAGAAACAAAGAACACAGCCTGGCGAAGTTGATGCTGGCTCCCGAAGTGTCTGGCTTTTTCTTTCTTTTTTTTTTTTTTTTTCTTTCTTCTTCTTTTCTTTCATTTACTTGTGCCATCAGTAAAAGCCTCGAGATGTTTCCTTAAATTATTCCCGTGTGTCTGCTGATGGAAACACACACACACCCTCCCCGCCTCTCCCCTTCGCCCCCCTCGCCCCTACCAGGCCAGGTTACGCATTTTGAAAAGTGCAGCCATGACAGACAGAGCAAGTTCTCTCTCCCATTTTGCCCCGGCCCCGCGGTGTGACAGCTCGCAGGAGGTGTGCCTTCTCACCGGGAGCCACCCCCTTGCTGAATCATCGCCGAGCCATGGCCGGACAGCTCGTCCGCCCGGGCAGCGGAGCATTCCCCGGCCGAGCATGAGGCGGCGGCGGAGCTGACGCGAGGCAGAGACCTGTTAACATTCGGCTCAGGCGCGGGCGAGCGGCTGCGGGGGGAAAACCTTCCCGTTTCATGGCAGCGGGAGCCGCGGATGCAGTTTTGAGCTCAAAAGGCAAGACGTGCGCTGCTGTAAGGAATATCCCCTGCCTTTGAGGTAGTGAAAGTCCGACCTGCCTGGTCCTGCAGCTTTTGCCTCTGAAAACTCCCCTCTTGCTCATACAGGCTCCGTGTGCGATCAGCAGCGGGCTCGCGGAGTGATGTGCGAATTCGTGGTGTTGTGGCTCTTAGCTATAATCCTGTATTGCGTTTGCATAGAGAAGTGTATGAACGGTAGTGTCGTGTATGTGCTATTTGCCTAAAACTAGTTTATTCTGCACTGATGGAAGTCGTTGCCTTTGTTACCGCAAGGAAATAATGACTTAATCTTTATGGGGCTTGGGGTGCGAGTGTGTCAGATGCTGAGGTGTTGCGATGTATCCCTGCCTCCATTCAAAGGCTGCCAAAAAGTGAGAGAGTAAGAGGTGGGATGAGCAATTTTCAGCTGGGGTGTATCAGGCAAGACTAAATTGCAGCAGTTGTTGGACATGTAACATGATCCTGTAATTAGAGTGAGGTTATAGTCTGTACCATGTTGAAACTATCGGGTGTCTGCCTTGGATCAGTCTGAATTAAGCTAGTTATTCTGGGATTATACAGAAGCAGAAGTAATGCAGTTAAAGTTTCCACAGAGCAGCTTCCTTGGGGTTGCAGAGATGTTTTCCCCCTATGGGTCCTCCTTGCGGGTGTTTTGCTGTAAAGGTAGTATGTGGAGGCTGCAATGGTGCTGCTCTCTAGGTTGGAGAAAGGCCTTACATGGCACAGCTCTGCTCTTTGGAGCTTAATTTACTAAAGAACATAGAAATCAGGCATCTTGGTCCTGGGAGGGAAGAAAATCCTGAAGGGGGAACTTGGGGGTTCAGTTTGGTGCAGAAGTGAAGGACTTAAAGGACTCTGTAATTTGGTCTTCAAACTTCCCTACCCCCATTACTCTCCATACCCAAGAAGAACATCTCCAAGATGAGTGTTAGCAAGTGTGGTGGAGAGCCTGCACGCTGTGGTCTTTTCAGTGCTCCTGCCAGTGGGGCAGGATCTTCCTGGGGCAGCTTCAAGCAGCTCTGGTTTGCTGTGGGGCTGTCTGGTGTGGAGCTGCACAGGCAGACCTGGGAGGCTGTGCAGAGGTACAGTGTGTGGGCACCAGCTCTGCTCACGGGTGCTGATTTCCCTTGGTGTGTGTGTGTATATATAGACATGGCACAGATTTAAATGAAGTCATTTTAAAGTAGAGATGGCCCAGAAAAGTTTTGAGAATTATTTCAGTGTTTTGAGTGTTTCTTTTTCAAAGACAATGGGCTGTGCTAAAGCTTCTAGGTATTATGGGATGTGGTAATAGCAGGAGAAGGAACAGTCTACTTTGAGCTCACTTGCTTCTTAGGAGCAGCTGAATTTTATGTGTGCACCTGGTTCAGCCTGTTTACAGCTGTGTGGCCACTGCAGATCTGGTGCTGCCTTATGGGCCTTTTGGGATGTGTTGGCAGGGGCCCAAAGCAGTCCTGGTGGTCAGCAAGGAAATTAACTCCACAGTGCTGTAAATTATCCTGCTCAGCCTCCTGCAGCATCTGGCCAGGTCAGCAGAATTCAGGGTGCCACATCCTTTCCACTGCTGCGAGGGAGTGAGGGACCCACATGGGGAAGGAGGGAGTGGACCTAGACCTGTCATTCCTCCCTCCAGTGCTGGACCATGTGCTGCAGGAAGGTTACTGACAGGAGGGGTGCTGGGCAGTTGTCCCTCTGTGATGTTGAATCCACATAGAGGATTTCCTAGTGGTTTTTATGCCCAGTTCCACATCAATGGGGGCCTGCTCTGCCCTCTTATTCTCTGTTGGGGAATGGCTGGCATAAACTTTGCATGTTATTCTTAGAATTTTACAGACCTAGACATTTTCTCCTGGGCTTGTCCCATCTTGGCAAGAGGAATATGTGGAGCTTAGAATTTTGCACTTATGATGCCACCACACATGAAGTTTTGAGGGGCTGTTCTGCATGTTTAAGGGAATCTCGAAGTGTAACTCAAAAACTTGTGACTGCAGAGAGAAAGGCTGTCTTTCTTGCTTTTTGCAGCATAGCTTGCAAATCAATTTTGAAGCTGGTGCCATTGTGGAAGTGGTCCTGTTTCTGGCCTTTTCCTTCAGTCTCTTTCATTCTTGTAATTTAAGAATAATCTCGCAGAATAACAAGAAAAAAAGGACGCTCATTTTAGCCATCACTCAGCTTCTCCATGTGGCCACAGAAATGGTTGTGTTGGCACAAGGACTTGGGAGGCTCAGGCAGGACAGGAGGAGGCTGGGCCATGGCATAACTGCATTGCTAATGTCTGGCAAATGGATCTTCCTAAAGGCACAAGTCAAACCATGGCTGGCCTGGTCACCAGTGCCTGCAGCTCAGTCAGGAGCCTGAAAGCAAATGAAAATTCTCTTTGTGGCTGGTGCAGGCACATGTGAAGATGATGAATGTACAGTTGGGATTTGGTGACTGATGCCCACAGTGGGACACCCCTTCTGTGCTGGTGGTTACAGCTTGGCTTTGTCGGTGGAGTGAACCACTGCATGACTCAGATGTGTTGGGAAAGAGTATGGAGCACTCACAGGAGCAGGCTTTTTGGATCATGAACATACTAGAAGTCACATGTGGAAAATGAGTACTAGAAACATGAAGCTGCTCATTGAGAGGGAGGCTGAGCACTGGAAAACACTGTTTGCTAAGATCTCAATATTCAAAGGTAGTCATAGGAGTGATGACTCTCTTGGTGGGCTTTGAGAACAGTGCAGACATCCAGCCAAAGAACTGCTATGTCAGACAGACATGGCATCTTGCATTTCCAGCTTCCTAGCAGCCATCAGGAAAATGTGAGAAAAATCATCTGTAAAATGCTAGAAAATCTTGGTTGGGGAGTGACTGCAGCCTGGAAGCAGGGAAGAGAGAGGATGACTTTATTGAACAGTGTGTGTTTGCTCTTAAAATCCCTTAAAAGCTCTGAAGCTCAAGCTTGCTTGATTTGCTGTATTTGCCATATGTAATATTTCAGTAAGAAGTTTCAATTCAGTGTGGCTGAGTTGATGCAGGAGTTCCTTTTTAGGTGATAGGGATTCACTTATTCATGTGTAATATACTGGTTTTTAGACTGTTTTTTGGAGGTGGGGGGCTGGGAGTTTCTTTTTAGTTGGTGTAGTCCAGACCTCTAGGCAGTGCATGCATCTCTCTCTAGGGCAATGCTCAGGTTCTGATTTGTCATATGATTTAAACACAGACTTGTCTCTTTTGCTGAAATTCAGTTGGAGCATTTAGAATAAAACATTTTGTAATTCTCTGTTCACCTCTAATGCAAAACCATGGGTTTCCAGGCTTTCTATTAGTTTCTGCTGCTGAAATGGAATTCCTTATTGTGCCCCCTAAGTATAGAAATTGTATAAATGTATCCTTTTAGTTTTTCTCCAGATTTCCATGTGTGCAAATTGCTGCCCCTGGATAGATGATTTACCGGAATTTGTGCTTCTGATGCTTTTGCAGTTGCTCACCTCTTCCCTGCTAAGCTGTGCAGTGCATGCTGTTCTTTTAAAAGGTGTGTATCCTCCCCTTTTTCCATGCCATCTTCCAGGAAGGATTGTCTACCCAGAGCGATGTTATCGTCTCCCATTTTAAATGGTGTCAGCAGATATTTGTTTTTTCCCTTCTCTCATTTTGATGCTAAGTACTCACCATGGGAATGAGTAGTCTTGTATTATTCACATGGAGCAAATCTGTGGCTTGGCCTGCAAATTATAAGGCCCTGCTGAGTGAGGGTGAGGGCTTTTGGAGCCCAAGTAAAGGTGCCAGGATCTGTTTGCCTGGGCTTTTTTTTTTTTTTTTTTTTGTAAAAGCATGTAGGCCGATAGCAAGCTGAAAAAGCAGTGGCCTTCTGAGCCGGGTATTTTATGTCTGAGGGCTTCTGAATGCATAAAATCAGAGAGAATGTGTCTGTGTAATCCGATCTGCTCTTGAAAGCCTTGTGGAGGGCTGCATGCTGCAGACATAAGCTGTGTCAATAAGAACTCTATTCACCCTCGGAAAACAGCCTCGTGATCAGGTTTGATTGGCAGGCTTCCTAAGGGAGGGCTTTTTTTGAGAAGGAGCTCTGATTTTTTGGCGGTACTTCTGACTGCCTTTTTGGACTCCCACTTATTGTTCTTTCCTCGGCATGATAAACTTGGATATTTTTGCTGGGAGCTTGCTGGGGCAGAGGGAGGATTTCATGTAGCACTGTAACAGGAGTATGGGGTGAGTTTCCTTCCTTGCACTGCAGCTCCTCTGCCAAGCTCTATTTATGAGCATGAAGGTGAGGGATTTGAAAGAATATGAGGTAGGACTGGAGGTTGCTGTGTGCAGGAGAGTGTTCTATACCCTTGTGCGTGCTCAGGGTACAGTCTTGCAGAACAGTGGCACAAAGCACCCATCCTTGTAAAAGTCTTGGATGGTAATGCACAGAATGTGTGGTTGTGCATGCTTATGTGTGTTTTTCCCCCTTGGTTCTGCAGATGTCTGTGTTATCCAGAAGTGTTGTTGGATGAAATTCTGCTTTTGGTAATGCTGTCATAAATCTGCTGTGAAGGCAGTGTCGTACTAATGGCTGTAATTTGCTGGTTGCTATTACATATTTAAAAAAAAAATTTTATCAAAATCACGCAAGGCAAAAATCTAATTCTGCTTTATGAAGTATTCTACACGTGGCATGTAATCTTTTAAAATCTTGTAAGAAAAATCTGCTTGAGCTGATAAAAATTATACTTATGAGATTTGCTGAAAGCAGAATTTTCGTCAGAATATCAGGTTCTGAGCTACTGTTCAGTGTGTAGCATTTGTGTAAATGGCATTTGCTGCTGCATTACGTATGTGATATTCAGCGTTTGCTGAGGTCTTAAAGCCGTTCTCTTTGGCACTAAGTTACTGGCTTTAACAAAAGAGATAATGGACTTACAGTTTTGTATGTTTCTTTTTTTTTTTTTTCCAAGTTCTCTGGTCTATCTGTCACTTTTTTAAAAGCTTCATGTCCTTCGTCAAGTGATGATTTGAAAATTAGCTCAT